CTCACAGCAACCTGGATGAGACTGGAGACTATAATTCTAATTGAAGTAACACAGGAAACCAAACATCGTATGTTCTCACTCATAAACGACAGCTAAGCTATGAGGATGCAAAGGTGTAAGAATGACACAATGGACTTTGGGGACTCAGGGGAAAAGGGTGGGTAGAGGACGAGGGATAAAAGACTACAAATTGCGTGCAGTGTATACTGCTCAGGTTATATATAGGTGCACCAAAATCTCGCAAATCACTGCTAAAGAACTTACTCATGTAATCAAATACCACCTGTTCCTCAAAAGCCTATGGAAATTTTAAAAAACGTAAAAAAAGAAAACAAAAACCTGGGTAGAAGCAGCTTGGTACTGCTGATGTCCAAATGACACTTCTGTGAAGCTTTCCACAGTCTTCTCTTTAAGAGTTCAATTCTTGTTTCTCTGTGCTCTCACATTACTTTTTACTTATATCCATTACCGCACCCATAACAATGAGCTGTGACTGAGACAGTGGAACCTCTATTCACCTTTGCATCTCCAATCCCTAGAGTCTGCCCACCTTGCATGATCTGCACAAATGTTCTGTGATTGTATACACAGAACATTTGATGTATCTTATAGGTACATAAGATCGATTAAGTGGAGATGGAAATTTTACAACTTTTTGTTTTTGAAATTTATAACTTCCAATGATGGAATCACAGAAACTGGGAGATTTAGCACATGCTCATAAACTTTCCTTGTAAACTATGTGGAATCTTGTAAACTATGTTTGAACATTAGAGGCAAAAAAACTAATATGGAAAAATATTCCCAACAATCTGATATTTGATGTCCCAAACTATTGTGGGATTGGTTGTAAGAATAAACAACAAACTACCCTGCTGATTTCCCATGAAGCTTAACCCTCTTTCACATTTCAGAACCAGCCTGACTTAAGCCTCTACGTACTTAAACAGCTTCAAATGCCTATCTGAGACAGCATTGTAATGGGTCTCTGCCCCTGTCTGTCTGTCCATAATAGGTACTAATTCACTTTTCTTTAGTTGTTGGACCTAGGACACAGTAAACACCAAGTTACATTTCTGTTAGTTGCATCTTGGAAGTGCCTGAGAACTGATCACTCGGCACGTACCTTTTTACCTAAGTCTCCCCTAATGTTGGTCTGTTTACCTGTTAATGGTAGAGCCTGGTGCATAGAATTATCTCCTTGCCATCTGTGTCCCACAACACATATATAACCCCCTGCAGGGCATATGAGGCCCTTTCCTGAGAGGGGTGCTTTTAAGCCAATATTCCAGAGACCTAGTTCCCCTGCCCCAGGTGCCTCAATTTGTACACCTAGGATCCTACTTTGAATCTTCTCCTCAATGACAAGTATCTGTACTCATTTAGTTTGGGTCCATGCCATGTTCCTGCAGGAAGTGAAACCTACCTACTCCTTGATGACTTTCCAGGATGCTTGTCTGTACTATAGTGGACCTCCCTTCCTGCCTCACGGATGTCCGTGTGTGTGTGTGTGTGTGTGTGTGTGTGTGTGTGTGTGTGTTTGGTTTTTGCTGGATTCCTGAGGAAGGCCTTCCACTAAACTTCATTCATGTGCTTTGCTACCTATTAGAAAATGTAACCTAATGTAAATGTAAACCTCTGGTGCCTCTAGTTTTACTGAGTTATGCTGTATAAATCGTGGTTCCTGGTTCTTTCTGCTGCTCTGTTATGAGATGTATCACCCTAAGCCAAGCCCAAACACTAAGATAACAAGCACTAAAGATGACGAATATTCTGAAGAGTTTTCAGGAAACATATGAATGTCACAGAATTGTTTGTGGCCCACACCTCAGTACCAATAACAGATATTTCATGTTATATAGTGGGATCCTTAACAAATCCTACACCAGCCTGTAAAGCCCATTGATTAGTAACATGCAAATTAATTTTCAAATGTCTTTCCAAATCTATTGCACAAAATAATAAAAATACTATTTTGAAAATTGTGCATGAGCCATTTATTGTTAGCAGAATATTTTATCTTACACTTTAAATATGTGTTAGAATGTATAAAATATATATTAGGTTGGTGCAAAAGTTATTGCAGTTTTTGCCAGTACTTTTGATGGCTAAAAGTGCAATTACTTTGCACCAACCTAATATGTAAAAACATATGCAGCTGACCAACGTTGAACAATATAGGGTTGAACTGCACAAGTCTACTTACATACAAGTGTTTTCTGCCTCTGTCGCCTCTGAGAGAGCAAGACCCACACCTCCACTTCCTCCTCTCCTCAGCCTACTCAACATGAAGACAACCAGGATGAAGATCTTCATAATAATCCACCTCCACTGAATGAATGGTAAACGTATTTTTTTCTTCCTTATGGGTTTTTAATAACATTTCCTTACCCTACTGTAAGAATACAGTGTATAATACACATAACTTACAAAATGCATGTTAATCTACTATTTATGTCATCAGCAAGGCTTCTAGTCAACAGTAGGCTATTAGCACTTATGTGGGTTTTTGACTGCTTGGGGGATTGGCACCCCTAACCACTGTGTTGTGTGAGAGTCTGCTGTATATTAGTTAGTATTTATAAAATTAGAATATATTTTTAAAAGCACTCTAAAATCTTGAAATTTTGATATAAAACAATTACAGCCTTCAAATTTTCATCCCTGCCTCTAAACTCCTTTCTTTTAAAACATTCTGCACATCTCGATCACTTTAATTAGTATAAAGCTTCCATTTTATCATGTTATTTCTCTTATTCAAGGTTTTCAAGGATCTGATTAAATCTCACTGTTGTATGACTAGTTGCCGGAAAATCAACTCTTTACAACAATTATTTATCTTCTTCAAAATTATTGTCTCAGGGACCACAAGGGAAAATGGCAGATACAAGGGAAAATTCCAGATCTTTCCACTGAAACCATCTACCCAAATGAGAAGGAACCAGAAAACAGAAAAATAATTCTGACAATCTGATAAAGCAAATTTCTCTAGCACCCCAAAAAGATCACACTAGCTTTCCAGCAATGGATCCAAACCAAGAAGAAATCTTTGACTTGCTCGATAAAGAATTCAGAAGGTTGATTATTAAGTTACTCAAGGAGGCACCAGAGAAAGGTGAAAACCAACTTAAAGAAATTTTAAAACAATACAAGATAAGGATGAAAAAGCCTCCAGAGAAATAGATATCATTAAAGAAAAGTCAATCACAACTCCTGGAAATGGAAGACACACTTAGAGAACTGCAAAATACACCAGAAGTTTTCAACAATAGAATCAAACAAGTAGAAGAAAGAACTTCAGGGCTCTAAGACAAGGCTTTCAAATTAACTCAATCTGACAAAGATGAAAAAAGAATAAAACAATGGACAAAGCCCCCATGAAGTTTGGGATTACATTAAACTATCAAACAATAGAATAATTGGTGTTCCTGAAGAAGAAGAGAGATCTAAAAGTTAGGAAAACATATTTGAGGGAATAATCAAGAAAAACTTCCTAGTCTTGCTAGAGATCTAGATATCCAAATATAAGAAGCACTGAGAACACCTGGGAAATTCAATGCAAAAAGATTACCACCTGGGCACACAGCCTCAGGTTATCTAATGTCAAGATGAAGGGAAGAATCTTAAGAGCTGTGAGGCAAAAGCATCAGGTAACCTATAAGGAAAACATAGCAGATTAACAGCAGATTTCTCAGTATAAACCCTGCTAGCCAGAAGAGATTGGGCCCTATATTTAGCTTTTTGTTGTTTAGTTATTGTCTATAACACCAATATATTATTATTTATTAATGCATTCCTTTTAATGTATTATGTTATTTGTCATTAATTAAATTAGTAGTTATACCATTAAGCGATCTGTTGTTATAATTAATTAATTAACCTCCCTTTATCAATTAGATTATAAAACCCTGACGGCAACTGAGTAGAGGCCCAATAAGTGATTGCTGAATTGAAATGCTGAACTGAATTATACTTCTTTATATAGAGAGCCTCTGGTATAGGGTCTCACATATACCCTTACACAACATATAAGAATCCACTGCAAATCACTTGATCGATTAATCAACTGGCTGTACTTTGTAACAAGGTTTGCACAAATAAAATATCTTTCAGGAAAAGTGTAAAATATATTTCATTAATCTGCAAAAATGCAACTGTAAGTTTTGTGGCTTCCTCGTTTGGACTCGGCTCAAGAAGGCAAAACCTTTATAGACCCATAGTTTCTCCCCTAGGTACTGCTCTTTCACACATTTCTAAGCCTGACTAGATACATTGTAACATAAGCTGTGGTCACATAAGAGGTAGGTATCTCAGTAACATGCAACACCAGTCAGGGAAAAAGAAAACTAAGTGTCCAAAAGAGTACAGAATCCTGATGGCAGCTCACATTTACTCTTAAACAGGAGGCCCTCTTCTTAAATTCTCAGGTAAGTGACTCTGTAATAAGAGGATTGTGAAGCATTTACCTAACAGCTTTACTTTAGGACTGTATACTGGCCTTAGATATTTTTAAAACTTGGTATATTTTGTTTCTAAATAAGAATATTACAAAAAATTTCCTAACATTTATATAACATAATTCTCAAAGTAGATATAGCCAAATAACTGACTTTTGCTAGTTTTTTTCCAGATATTTGTCTTTTATGTACATGGCCAGAAACCACTTAGAACTGGTATAAAAACAAGTTAAGAAGCAAAATGTCAGTTGGTTCCTTTCTCTGTCCCAGAGCACAGTGTTTCATTAGGAATTTTTCATCACAAATAATAATGCGGAAGGTGTGACTTTTACAGTTTTCATATCTTCATATGTGGTGAAATTGTTTTAGCAATGTGAGAGTAAGTGTGATCTAGAAAAGAAAAATATCTTTAGATTTGAGAACAGGTGGTTAATAATAATCATGACAGTGATTCAAGGTTAATGACCTACATGCTAAACTTGTTTTAATTTTTAAAAGCCATTACTAACTGAAAATGCCCTGCGTTAGCTGAACCAACACTTACAAGCATTTTTTAAAGATGTCTTGATAGCTTCAGAAAAGTTCTCTTGCTGCTAGTTTCCTCTGGAGCAACAGTGGGAAATCCTGGGTGGTTACTCCTTTGTGAATATAAGCATCCACATGAAATTGGTTGTTTCTGCATGCACAGGCAAACATGTTTTGTTATACTAACGTCTGAAATACAAATTGTTGTAGAATCATTTTATTCTATAGACTTCCAAGCCTAATTCTATTACTAACTAGTTCCATCAATAGTTAAATTATTATTTATCTTCTATCCAAAGGTCACTTGAAGGTCCTATCACGTTGGTGTGAGAAGAATTGGGTAAGACAAAAAGTTAGGCTTGCACCAGTTATCAACAGAATATTAAGAAAGATTTTTAAGAAGGAAAATAGCAGTTCCAGGTTCCAGATATTTGATACTTTTTTCACCAGAAAATAGGAAAGACAGACAGACTGAGTCTGCAATGTATTTTCAAATCAAACTTCTATTCTTCTATTTAATATATTTTTACAGAGATGACTTGAGAAAACACACATTTCTTCTGAATCTTTATGTATAAATTTTTGACGGATCAGACACTCTTACCTGAGTTAGGTGATCTCACATCATTATCTATTGCTATGTACTATTGTTTCTGTAGCCAAATGAATGGGCCATTGGCAATCAAGCCAAACAAATTTTGTTTTTACAACCAATTTTAGCATTAATCTACAGACACGGCTTTTCAATCGTGGAAAAGATATCTCCCATTTTTAGTCCAAATTTAAGTATAGTTAAAGTTACATTTTGGGAAAAGTGTTTTATCATTTTTTTTTCACTTGTGGGATGAAAAGTAGGATTAAACAGCCCATTATCTCTACTTTCTCTAACTGCCTTTACTAAAATTTTAAAATATTTCTTTTGAAGAAACAAGACATAATATTTGCCATTAAATTCTAAAAATATGACAACTAAGCAGATGCTAAGGCAATTGTGTTTCAACTGTGGGCTTATAAACTCTATTGAGAAACTCATTTATGATCATGAGTTTTTTTCAGGATGGACACATAAAGACAGATTTTTAAAATACTGGCCTGGAGAATAGGGAGAGAGGAGGTAATAAAAAAGCATCTATATTACTTAGATGATACATATCTTTTTATAATATCTATAATTAAAACATTTTAAAGTATCTATAAATATTTCTGTACTAAAATACAATATACAGTATTATAGTTTATGGCCTGTGATTTTTGGTAATGATTGTGCGTATTTTCTGAATTAATTTTATAAGTGGACAAGCAAAGTGACCAAGAGAATGATCTACAATGCAGAAATAACTTTCAATGATAAAAAGCCTGAAGTACAACAAAGAAGTCAGAGGCAGGGCTAGACAAAATGGCACTAAATATACTAAGACGGTGAAGAAAAAGAAGAGAAGAGTATATTGTGGCTTAACCCATATTTCCCCATGACAGAAGGACAGATACTAAATCTGAGGGCAACTCAATAGTAGTCAATAATCATCAGCCAAATCAATGGATGACTAGGTGGATGGATGAATGCATGGATGAATGTTTGTGCCTGGGAACCCTTCTGTCATCATGCATAAGCAGCCTGAGTCTTAGATAATGCCATATGACATGCTTTCTCCACTGTGAATAAACAGACCTAAAGACAGGCACCAGGAGACCCTGGGACCATAAAGCTCAGATTGTTATAATAAGAGGAGGGAAAGAAAGCTCCTTGTTGAAGAAAATTTTTGCACACTTGATATACAATATTTCTGCTAATGAACAGAGAAAGCTTGACTTAAAAGGACACATTTATATTAGATGTCATTACTATCTAGATGCCATTACTCTCAAGCATCGGCCAGGTAAAGGAGAGGGGATGCCTGTAATTTTTTCTTTAAATATTGCTTTTCCTAAGATCGCTTGGGAATTGGGAGTTGTGAGTTTGTATTTCCATTGCTTAGAAATGTAAAACTGATGAAGAAGGGAGACATCACCAGCAGAGAGGGCCTTCAGCACTTTCAGAACATAGAAGGTTTCATAATACGGAGGCTGTAACACTAAGAAAAAGCGATATTGATGCTAGTGCCCAATCTACCATGAGAAAGTTTTGCGACTTTGGGCAAGTCAGTTAATTACTCCGGGCTTGAAGATGAGTCTGAATACAAGAGCCTGTAATGGTTCCTTCCAACACTGGGACTGGTGGGTCTGCAGCCATAGTTACATCTGGAAACTCCACTGGTGTTTCTGGAGCTTCCCAAGAGTATCAGGAATTCAATTTGCAGTCATAAAAAATTATGGATCATGTTCTCTAAATATAACACTGCCAAGTGTGTGAAGATATACCTTTATTAAAATTTCTCTTAAGTTGTTCCTTCCTAAGGCAGCAAAAGCTAAGCAGATCTTAGAAATTCATTTAGAATTCATATTACTCAATTACACTTGACTATAACACTTAAGAACCTAGTCATTTTCCTTTTGTAGTAACAATATATTTTATTTGAAATATGTGAATGGTTACTTCGTCATTTTAATCTACATGAAAAATTTAACCTTAAAGTATCTCTATTTTAGAAATATGAAAGGAGACTATCAATCAGTATTTATGAAGCAATGTTTGTTCTTCTGATATAGTGTGGGAAGAGAATGTAAAAGTCTTGCAACACAAAAGGGATTGTTCTCACAAATCATAGGTTTGTGAGATGGGGTGGCAAAATCTTATTGTTTTTAAAGAACCAAGCTGTTCTTCACAAGCAAGAACACTGAATTCCCTGGTTTTCTTCTTCTAGTCACTATACCCCTGGCATCATAACACTGCTGTCAATCAACTGCATCCAGAAGGTAGAATAAAATGCCAAGTGATACTTTTGGCAGAATTCCAGAGATTCTCAGATGTTTTTTTCTTTTCTCGCTTAAAAACTTTACCATATGAATTAGGTTTATTTTGAAATGTCCATGAAAAAGAAGTCAGATATTTCTTAAAATTGGCCCCTCTTAAATGTTTCTGGGGAAGCGTCATATAATTCAATTTGTTCATGTTATTCCTTTTCATCATAAATCAGTCCTCCATAAACAGCTTCAAATTTTCACTATGTCTGATGCTACTGTAAAAATATACCTAATATATTTGATCAAAAGACAGTAGTCAATATATTTATTAGGAGAAATACTTTATTCACTAATCTTAAGAAATATTAGAGGAAAGCCAGTACAATCTGAAGTTAAAACTAATGATTGTTAAATGAATGCTCCCATTTTATTAAAAATTAATAATAGTAATAAAAAACTACAAAGTACTTTCACATTTCCATTTGACTCTCACAATAACTCTGCTATTCACATAAGCATATATACATACTTACCTGTATACATGTACACATATTATGTATAGTAACCCTCTTACTATATGTAAGATTCAGAGAGGGTAAACAACATGAATAAGACCACAGGACTCTTAAATTATGTGTTAGTGATTATAATTCCTACATTATTTCTATAGGATCAGCTGGCTTCACTGACATCAAAAGATTATATATAGTTATATAATTTTATACTTGGTGACTTTATATGCATTTTTCAGGAAACTTGCAAAAACAAGAAGGTGAATAAACTTCAAATTGAGAAGAGTTCACTAAGCATAATGCATTTATTTTGCATCAGGATTTTTCAATGTTTTAATTTTTTAATAGCCAACATACATCTCCAAAATTTACTTCTCCAATCTTTCCAAAAGAATTGATGAAAACGTAAACCAAGATTTAGATGTAAGGATGACCATCGTAACATTATAACAAGCAAAAATTACAGAAAAACTCAGTATTCAAAAACAAGTGTTGATGAAGGTATTTACTTTATTCACAAGTAAACGGCAACCAGAGAGATGACATGATTTGGTCACAGGCACGGCAACAGGTAGGAGCAGATCTGGGACCCAAATCCATGTTAGCTATCTCCAGACATAGAACTCTCTCCACCAAAACACACTTTAGACCACACCCTAACTATGGGACTGATGGTTTGCTCCATTGTTTGTTGCCTATGGGAATGGGTTTATGTATAATTGTGATTAAAATCATTATCCTTTTAAATGGAAAGAAAGATGGGATAGGTGGGTAAATAGATTATAGCAGAGTCAAATAGTAGATTGCTATTTTGTCACACATACCAAATACTAGATAATGAACTTCATATTAAATATCATCTCTAGGTCTTCATCATAACTCACAATGTTGTACGATGCTCTGGCAGAAACTAAAAACCGTGCTTGCAGAATGTCTCATCTATATGACAATAGAACGACTGAGTGAAATGGAGCTTAAAATTAAGTCTGTTAAGAGGTTAGGGATAAGCCAAAGACAGAGCGAGACTCCGTCTCAAAAAAAAAAAAAAAAGTAACTCAGAAATAAATAAAAGTAAGTTCTGAGCTGGCATCCATAAATGCTTTGTGGCATTAGATGCTGCTAAGAGTGAATTATTTCCATGAAGCCAAGATCAAGCTGGTGCACAAGCTGTACATTAATTACTTGAAAAAATTCCCAGTAGGGCAATGTCTAAATATATTTCCGTGAGAATAGTGTATCTATTTGTTATAAAGGTGATGATCTAGCTAAGAGGGTGTCTGACCTACAAAATATATCCACTAATTAAAAAAAAATCTAAGGAGAATTTGGATAAGAGTGGTTAAAAAAAATTGCAACACAGATGGACTTCACATTTTGGGCATGACTACACACGTGGCCAGATCAATCCCAGTGATCCTTCCATGCAAAGCTGTTAGTGTGGTTAGTTGATTGTAGGAAATGTGGCATTTGCATTACTAACTTGTTTTGTTCTTGTCATGGTTGTAAAAACAGTCTCTACTTAGTTAGCAAGTATAAATGTTAGCAAGTATAAATATGTTTAAACATAAAAAAGTAAGACTAAACAAGAATAAAAACTGTTTTTAACTATAATTATCAAGTCTCCAACCCAAAACATCTTTTTCCCATCCTTGACACAATAACATTCAAACATGACTTTTAATGATGCCGCAGTACATTTATTGCTAAATTGTACTCAAAATAATGTTTCATTTTACTTAAGTGGCACAAGCCCCCTCAGGTATGATTATATCTCACATACTAATTCTTCGTGAGCTCATTGACAGAAGTGACTATGTCTTCTTATAAAATTTCTATACTCCCATGATCTAGCTTAGTTTCACGCAAATAAAAGGTATTCAGTTTATATTTGCTGAAGGGAAGAGAATCTCCTTCTAGTTAGCACTATCCACACACAGTACTTAATAACAGATTGTATCAGAGTTTGCTAGTTGTCCACCAAAATCTGTTCTCCCTTCTTTGTCAGGGCATATGGCTATATACTACAATTTTCAATCTACCTTGAATAAATTGTGGCTGGTATCCAAAGGAACGAGAAAGGAAATAATGTATGCTACTTCAAAGTGGGGATGGATGCATCCTCTTAGAAGATGGTGGGGCTGCAACTAGGGAGGAGTCTGGGTTCCTCATTCACCCTGAGGGAGAAACTCACCCACCTGTCAAAAACACCTACCATGGACTTATGTGAATGAGAATCAACCTCTACTGTGTTTGAGCATTTTAACTGACATTCATTTAACACTATTTAATATACAGGTGTTCAGTAGATGTTCACTAAATTAATTAATTTTTTGTAGTTTGATTTTCTGAAGAATTTGAAACAGATCAAATGTATAGAGAAGTTTCAAGAACATTCAAAGAGTCCCTCTATCCACTTCACCCAGAATTCCTAATTATTAACATTTTACGTCATTTGCTCCCTCTGCCTAACACATGGATGTATTTGTGCCTGCGTGTGTCTGTGTGTGTGTGTGTGTGTATCATTAACCCTAGGTACTTCAGTAAGTACCCCTCCAGAACAAGGATTCTCTACTACACTAACACTGTAAAGCTGTCACAACCAGGAAGTCAACAATGATAGAACACTGCTATTCAAGCCAGAGGATGATGAAATTATTATGTGTTTATTGGGTACTCAATTGGGTGTTCAGCATGACAAGTATCATAACCACAATAATCATCCTGGCTTTCTCTTTCACCCACCATCTCTGTCTCTCTCTGTTTTCCCTCCTACTTCCTAGGCTTCTGGGCACACTGCCATTGACCTCTGCTTGACATCCCCTTCCCCGCCTTGTCAGCAGCCTTGCTCACACATCAACCACTGTGTTTGCATGTTCCCATGGCAAGAATGAGGGGGAAGGGAGTAGGAGGGAAAATTGGTAGGGACAAGGGAAGGTGGATGAATGAACTCATTTTTAATTTAATGCTACACGAAAATAAATGCCAGAAAGTAACATTCTGAAAATCACTGGTAAAAGCATTCCCAAAGTCTACCTGATATGGTAGACATCTAAATTCACTAAAAATTCTGAGTTTAAGGAAACAGCTAAGAGGTTGAGAAATCAGAGTTGGCTGCCCAACTTACAATTCTCCTTGCTGACCAGCATCTTTTGGCTGCCTCTCAAAATAACAAGATCAGGCAAACAAAACTGAATTCTTCACTTGGATTAAATCTGAACCTTCCTTCTCTTACTCCTCTGTTAATAAAATATCTTCCTAGGCTTGAGATAGTCTAGAGACCACCTGAGAACACTGAATGTTCCTTTCGAGTATCCAGTAGCATAACTCACATTAGCAACAAGGCCTTACTTATGTGTGCTGAATATTTTTATCTTTTTATATCTTTTATCACAAACCAAACACTGCTTACTTATAAAATATATGTGTAAGTCAACATAATTTTTTTGTCAAAACAAAGATTTTTCTCCGAAATACAGCTACAGAAGAAAAGGGGTTTATAAGCAGTGTATAGTACACATTCAGAAACATTTTGTTTCATGGATCTTTCAGTAAATGCTTCATTTCTATGTAGGAGGTATAAGATTCTTGCTAAAAATACATTCCCTTCCTTGAATATTCACAATAGCTTGCCAAAACTTCTCACAAATGAATAAAGGCAGGACTGATTAACAGTGTCCTACTTAATATAATAATAATTCAGGTTTTAAATAATTTCAACATCAGTTCATTATGTTAATTAATCTTATAAAAATCTCCCAATTAATGTACTAGATATAAATTTCATCAAGTACTTTGATGAATTAAGTGGAAAGTAAAGGTTTTCATCAATATCTGCAATAATATTATTAAATTGGGCTAAAAGGAACGAAGACAAATGAAGATATATAAGAAAACTAATCACGATTTTAGACTAAAACAGGAAAAGAACATAGTTATCTAGGACACTGTCTCCTTAGTTTTTAATGTTTTTTTCCCAGATGCGTTTGCACATCTTTTGCCTGAAAAAAGAACTTATTTCCAATATACAAATTACATTAAATATGTCTTTTAGCTCTTATGGAGCTGAAAGGCAAGTCCAAAATGAACTTTTTTATTTGTTATGTCATGAAACTATAACACTGCATTATTAATACACCTCTAATCAATAAATCCTAAAAATCCATTCCCAAGAGACCCAGATTTCTCTACTAGTTCTAGTTTTACTAGTTACACCCATTCTCAGCAGTAAGTTGTCCTAGTTCTTAATATTGAAATGATAAGTTCAGAGGCTCTAGGTGGTCAAGGGGTTGCTAGCTAAAAGGAGAGGTCCTACAGAAAGGGACAGAGTCTCCATGAGCAATGCTGGATGGTATCTGTGGTCCAGTTCTTGGCATGTGGTGCATGCTGCCTAAGTCTTTGTGCCCTAGATCTCCAACAGCAATTGGCAAGGAAAGGACCATGGCTTTGGTGACGAAAGTGATGGCAGAGAAGAGTGGAAAGAGGTATGAGTGATGACTAAGGACAAAGAAACAAGGGTAGAAGGACAATTCCAGCAGGAGCTTATCCAAATAACAGAATCCTTATCTCAGGAAAACCATCTCTGCTGTGAATATCTACACACACACATATATTCATCAGGTGTCAATTTCATTACTGATTGGAACACTATAAGTTTGTTCAAAATAGTAGTTATTATTCAATATCTTCAGCTGTCCGGATTCAGCATTTTGTAGCATGCTCTCTGACGTTAGTGAGAATGAATTGTACTCTACATATTTAAGTAATGGTTTGGTAAACAGCTACTATTAAAAATTTGTGTGCTATGTAGTATTTGTGGTCTCCTGTCACCCACCTCAGGAGACACAACTGATGTAATTGAGACAGCTCAGCATATCCTATGGAAAAATCTCTTATTAAATAAGGATCAATGATGAAGTAGCATAGTCATTGAATTAACTTGTTTTCCTTAAGAGGAGCTCTCCTCAGGTCAAAATTGAAGTCAGGGATAGAAAAGTCTCTCATACTGTTCCCTGAGTGTGAGAGGAGCAAGCTGTTGGTTTCCTTTGGTGACTTTTTTCTTGTCTCAGAAGAATAAATTAATAAATTCTGCACATCTGTGATTTTGTGTGACAAAAGTGAAGAATGTATGTCTCTGTTTACAAGGCAATGCAATGGGAATCACCTCCCCTGTTGTCTCTCCCCCATCACCACCACTTAGCTCGCTGAAATCTTCTTAACCACAACCACCATAAAAGATGATGATATATTGTTGCTTCAGACTCATGCTGATTAAAATTTTCCAGCTATTTGTAAATACACCAACTACTGGATTTCTTGCTTCTATGTTATATGACAAAGTTTCTTTCAGATGAAAATGTCCTGGAAACAAGTAATTTTTACTCGGCTACCTTTAAACATGGATAGTGACTCCTCCAAAATGCTTTCACTTGAAAAAAAAAGAAAAAAAAGAAAAAAACCTCAAAAATGAGAAGGGCTTTCCAACTTGAGGAAAGCAAATCTTTTCAACTTGCACTAAGAACATCACAACATTTTCTTGCCTCTTAGATGGTTTGTATTTTGGATGCTTCTGAAGAGAAAAAAAAGACATATAGAATTTAAACATTATCTGTGTTTATTTGTAGAATACTTATTTTTTATATTTTGTTTTTTAAATGAGTATTTCTGATATCCCATATGTTTAGAATATTTGTAATAGAACAGCAAATTTCCACCGTGGAGTCAATGGAGAGCTATGCAATTTAACAACTGCAAAGAACCTTAGAGATCCTTAGAATAACACATCCTCATATTTACAAATGGGGAAACAGGGTATATAAGTAGAAGTAACTTGCCTAATTGATCAGCTAGGGGTACAACAGGGTCATTAGGGCCATGCTGTTCAATTTCTCCCGGATATGATCCTGGTGATGGAGTACCTACCAACTTTCTTTATAACAGCCCAGCGTCTAGTATGAGAATCATTCTGTGGACACTCAATCGAAACAATCTCCTTGGATTACTCCTGGCACAGCTTATTTATTCTCATAGCCAGTTCCCTGGTCATGACTCTGACACTAGTAGATAAAAAGTGTCACTCTAATCTCTTGATCTTTTCATCACGCCTTTATTTTTACGCATGCAGTACTCAGAGTCTAAACAAACCTTAGCTTGTATTTTCCTCTTAAAAGCCTACCATGGATGTCTTACAGTTTTGTTGTTGTTGTACGGGATCACGTTCTGTTGCCAGGTTGGAGTGCAGTGGCACAATATTGGCTCACTGCAACCTCCAACTCCTTGGTTCAAGCGATTGTCTTGCCTCACACTCCAAAATGACTGAGATTACAGGCACGCACCACCAGGCTCAGCTACTTTTTGTATTTTTAGCAGAGACAGCGTTTCACCATGTTGGCCAGGATGGTCTCGATCTCCTGACCTCGTGATCCGCCCACCTCAGCCTCCCAAAGTGCTGGGATTACAGGCATGAGCCACCACACCCGGCCTCTTATAGTTTTTAAAATTAAATTTAATCCAATAAAACATTTCATTTGCCTTTATTTGGAATTTGTTGTCTATTGTTATATACTCTACTAATACCTGCTCTTCAGCAAGGAAATTTTCTTATATCTGCCTACATGTACATCATTTGTTTGAGCCCCTAAATGTTGGTAATAATGATGATGATATTACAGCATGAATTACTTTATGTTGAACACTGGCCTAAGTGCTTTAAACACATTATTTGCGTAGCATTTACAACAGTTTTGTAGGCATTATTTGTCACATTTACATTTTCTTGTTCTATTATATAATTTGTTTTAATATAATATTAGTTTTCTATTGTTTCTCTAATGAATTACCACAAATGTATTACATTATGGGATTGTAAGTCTGAAGTCCAATAGGGGTCTCACTAGCCTAAAGTTAAGGTGTTGGCAGGACTGTGTTCTGTTCTGGAGACTTTAGGAGAGAATCTGTCTCCTCCCCTTTTCCAGCTTCTTGATACCATTCATAGCTTTTATCATAATCTGGCATCCTATACTTTATACTTATTTTCTGATTATATTTTGCCTAACCTCTGTGAGAATATTAATTATTTGAGGGCAGGGATTTTTATTTGTTTGTTCATAACTATATCCAGGTGCCTTAAAATGATGCCTGCCACAAAATAGGTACTTAATCAACATAGGTTAATAAATGAATGAGCAAAAAGTTTTATCGTGCATATTAACTGTTACCTGGGGGAACATACTTAGATACCTTAAGTCTCATATGTAAACTTGGGGTATTGATATCAACATGCCATTTTGAGGATTAATTGTGGTTATGTTTATAAATACCTACTAGCATAGCGTCTAGCACATAGTATGAAAACATTGTATTATTATTATTTATTAAAATGGTATTGTGTTTTCTTTATAGCACCTGCCATTATCCAAATTACCTTTTCTGTTTCTTTTCTTTTTACTTATTTATTAATTGTTTCACAAAGGCAGAATCTCGTATCCTTTGCCTCTGTGTCTTTAGTACCTAGAATGGTGCCTGTTTAAAAGTAGGAGCTGAAGAAATGTTTGCTGAGTTAATATTAATCATATGTAGGAAAAGAACCTTGGGGAATGTTATTCTACCACTCGCAGCTGTGCCCACTACTATGATGGTTGTTTTGTGTGTTCTTTCTCAAGGATTCACATGAGAACTCAAAATGGGGTGTAGGGTGGTTGTGGTGCCAGCAGTGGGGAGGGAGAAGCTCCATCTTTCCCTACACTAGAAGTGCTTACTGCTCTATGTGTTCTTTAACCCTATAAGAACCAATGAAAGCCATGCACACTTCCCTCCATATTGGACATCCCTACATACTCACAGCAGTCTGCAAAACGTATCCAAGGGCCCACTGAGATACTGAAGATGACCCATTGATTTAATACATATTTGCAAGACTCTGATTGAGAACCTCTGGACAGGCGCTTATCTAAAGGTTACAGTGTGTGACTAGCATGACACAGTTTAGAATTCATGTAACAGGAATACACTATAGGGAGAGAAAGCACTGAAGACCTCAGTTGACATTGTGGAAGTGGAGTAAGAAATTTCTGTGAAGCCAAGTAAATAGGATTTTGGAGACTGAAGGAGGAGAAATCATCCTTAACTTCAATATTATTATCCTGTGTAGATTCATACTTTGTATATTTTTTACTTAAGAGAAAAAATAGTAATAATATTGGCTAGGGGAAACACTTGAGAAGAAAGAAATAAGTCCAGGAGCCCTATAATGTAATTTTCCTCTACTTATTTCCCACGTAAAATTAAAGCTGTTTTAGTTCTCATTGCACTTATCATCTTGAACTCATTTGCCACATTATTTTATTTAAATATTCCTTAACCTATAGAGAGTGGACTTAACTGCTAAAAAGTACATAATACATGTTCCCAAGGAACTGCTTCAATTACCACGGCACAAGGTTTTTTTGGGTTTTTTTTTCTTCCCCTTAATAATACAGTATTATTACTAGAAGTATCATCAAGTCATGCAATGGTCAAAATATTCTTACTTCTATTGTTAGGGTGTTAGAAAGGACTCTGAACTACTTGATGTCTAGATGCAGATAAAAAAAAAGAGCAGCTGTTCACTTCACATAAAGTAGCCGCTACTGCTTAAAGGTAAGGGTAAACCTTGTTCACTGTGGATGAAGGTTACTAAAGAGAAGGACTGACATATAAAATAGGTTCAAATATATATGGAGATATAGACTTAAAAAATTAATATTCAATTAATATTCTAAGAAAAGAAAATTCATATTCCCATCCAAACACAGAAGCTTTTCTGTAGTGGTATTCCAGTGAAAGCCATTTACATTTGAATAGAAAAATTTAACTTGAGATCTGCCCTTATGAAAAGTGGTGAGAATTCAAATAGTTCTCGAACCCTATTTGTCATATCACTTCCTGAAAGGATACTCAATCTCTTAATTTTTTCTATTATTTTGTGCTTTATGGAAAAATATTTAGGAAGATTATAGAAAGAAAATTTTTAGGAAGTAGCATCTTTAGTTTTCCTAAAATACATGTCAAATCCAGCATTATTTATTTTACATAATAAAAAGATCACAACTTTTACTCTGTTAAAACTATATTAAAACAAAAGAGAAGCAACCCACTAAATAATAATTGATTCATTTCATTTGGAGGTCTTCTATGTTTAATATGCTTGCGGACTTTTTGAACACTGAGGATTCACTTTTTTTTTTTTTGAGACAGGATCTTACTCTACTGCCCAGGCTGGAGTGCAGTGGTACAATCACAGCTCACTGCAGCCTCAGCCATCCAGGCTCAAGTGATCCTCCCACCTCAGCTAACAGAGTAGCTGAGACTACAGGGGTGTGCCACTATGCCAGGCTAATTTTTGTATTTATTTATTTTTTGGTAGTGACAGGGTCTAACTGTGTTGCCCAGGCTGGTCATGAACTCCTGGGCTCAAGCGATCTGCCCACTTTAGCCTCCCAAAGTGCTGGGATTACAGGCATGAGCCACCATGCCAGGCGAGAATTTGCTTTTAAATGAAAAAGACACAATACCTGCCTTCAGAAAGTTCCCTGTCAAATTTTGGAAATAAATAATTAAACAAAGTTTCTAGGGATAATAAGTCACATATTCATGAAAAGACACGCAGAGGGTTCCAAAGGAGCACCAACCAACCAGAGGGGAAAATATGGGGGCAACAGAGGCAAGAGGTGATGTGAGAGAGAAAGCCTGAGCTGGAGCACAGAGCCAGGTCAGTAGCTAGGACTGTGTCCTGAATCTGAAGGCGGGAACAACTCTGTCAGTTGTGAGACATGAATTTGGAAGGCTGCTGGGAGAGAAAAGCAGAGATTAATTGGCGCAATTACCTACTTAAGATATTTTGGACTGGGCGCGGTGGCTCATGCCTGTAATCCCAGAACTTTGGGAGGCCGAGGTGGGTGGATCACCTGAGGTCAGGAGTTGGAGATCAGCCTGGCCAACATGGTGAAACTCTGTCTCTACTGAAAATACAAAAATTAGGCAGGCAGTGGCAGACTCCTGTAATCCCAGGTTTTCAGGAGGCTGAACGAGGAGAATCACTTGAACCTGGGTGGCAGAGGTTGCTGTGAGCTGAGACTGCACCATGTCACTCCAGCCTGGGCAACAGAGCGAGACTCCATCTCAAAAAGAAAAAAAAAAGATATTTTGAAGTCTAGAGATGAATTCCAGAAATAAGGTATACAGAAAGTGAAATTGCAGGACTTTGTGATTGACTAGAAGTGAGGGAGGAGGGAGAGGGAAAGGGAAGAGTTGAAGATGATGGAAACAATAGATTACAGGAAGAGGCTCAAATTTAGGGGGAAGAAGATCAGATCACAATCAACGCAGCTTCATTCCACATGTTCTGAAAGTTAAATATCTCCTCTACCTGAAAGATCCTTCATATTTTACTTCCCTGGACCTCTCAATGTTTCATTGATATTTATTCCCCTAGACAAATAGTATAACCCCTTTACAGATCCAAAACTTCACAGTAGGCAAATATTGTAACCCCTTCAAAATGTATGTTATGAATAGCCTTTGTAGGTAACA